AGTGCAGAAAGCGGAGCCAAAAAACTGCACCGAATCATAAGGAGCCAAGAGGGCCTCTCCTGTAGGGGTTGAGGGTCCCTTCAAGGGTTCCTTTAAGGGTTTCTTCAAGTTCCTTTGATGGTTCCTTTAAGGGCTCCTTGAAGGGCTCCTTAAGGGCAATTCGGCTTGGTATATTATGTTTGGTTCAGGGTTTAGGGTTTAGGGTTTGCGGTTTTACGATTTAGGGACTAGGGTTTTGGGCTTAAGGCTTAGGGGGTAGGGTTTTAAGTCTGGGGTTTTAGGCTTTAGGGTTTAGGTTATAGTACACTACACTGCACTACACCACACCACACCGTGACACCGCACCAGACGCTACCGTAATGCACGATGGGCTTCTGTTCAGGTTGAGAGTGTGGAGTCCTGTGCAGCACTTGGTTGAGGGGCTCTAATGTTGGGGCTTAGGGCTTAGGATTTACGGTTTAGGGTTTAGGGTTTAAGGTTTAGGGGGGCCTAGTGATGTCAATCCACCGTCTTGTTTGTAAGTCTAAAAAACACAGCCAACAGTCCCACCTCTAGCCACACAACCACCGACAATAACCACCACCGCGGCGAACCTGCGGAAGTTCGCTCAGTCCCCACATGGTTTCACGTTTGGACTTCCGGTTTTCTGAAGAGTTAAGGGTTTTATGCCGCAACTCGTTGCTTGTCTCATTCGAGCAGATCCTCGTGAATAGAAGGCTATAGCCAAAGCCATGTTTGTGCGACTGCACTCACTGAAATCGTTTGCAAAAGCCCACCCAAACCCGAAGCCGTCAAGCCTAAACCCTAAACCCTAAACCCTAAACCCTAAAGCCCAGAACCTAAACCCTAGCCTAAACCACCCCCCCCCGAACCCCCCGAAGCTCTGAGCGCTAGGCCCTTTCTTGAAAATGGGCCTTGAACCCAAGCCTCAAAGCATTGCACTGAGCGGCCCTTGAAATTAATGTAGGGGCCTTCATAATTAGAATAGGGTTCTGGGACCCATTATAGCATAGTATACTTATAATAAGGAACCCCCAAAATACTATTAGTAATGATTTAGGCCCCTATACTAAGCCCCAAACCACAAGGAAGCTCAGGACAGGGAGCTAACCTCCACCCAAAAGCATCTTGAGGCCCCGAACTCCGAAATGGATTTAGGGTTTAGGGTTTAGGGTTTAGGGTTTAGGGTTTAGGGTTTAGGGTTTCAAACCCCTCTACCTAGAGAACCAATGCCCAGTAATTAAGGAATCTACATTAAATTCCAGGGCTTTAATATCATGGTTGAAGGGATATTTCTTAATTGAGGGGTGTTGGGTTCTCTGGGTACCAGAAAACATCGCTTTTCGACCAACCGAGGAACAACCTTTGTAACAGATCGTGCTAACAAAGTCTCGTGAAGCATGCTAATAAGACCATTTGTACGGTGTTACAAACCCTAAACCCTAAACCGAAGCCAAGGGGACAAGTTCCGCCCCACAGTGTCGAACTCGAGAAGCCTCGTAGGTCACCTCTAGCAAGGCCGCCGCCACGGCAGAGCGCTGGCACGAGGAGAGGCACTCGAGGTGCGGGACGTTCTCCAATCTGAGCTCAGCACCCAGAGAACCCAATAATGCTTAATTAAGGAAGATACCTTAAAATACAAGGGCCTTAATATTATGATTTAGGGTATATTCCTTAATTAAGGGGTATTGGGCTCTCTGGAGATTTGGAATCTGCGGATGATTCGGGGGTTTGGGGCCACGCAAGATATGATATGAAATGATTTGGTATGATTTGAGTTGCTACGATGTGGTATGGTATGTCATGATATGATACGCTATGATAGGATAGGATGCGGCACGATACGACACGACAAGATACCATATGATACGGTATGATATGGCATGGCATGACATGACAAGGGATGGCACGACATGGATTGGCATGACATGGCATGGTATGATGTGATGTGCTACGAAAACGACGAAACCACAGAGCCAACTAAACCCTGAACCCTAACCCTAATTCCCAGAAACCTGAAGCCTAAACTACCCTTAAGCTAAACCCTAAACCCTGAACCCCTAAACCCTAAACCCTAAACCCTAAAGCTCAAGCCCTTGCAGACGAGCGGCATCTTCGCGTAAGTCTCAAACTTGGCCTGCAGCCGGTCCTGCGAACTGCAATTAATCTAAGGTTCGAAGTATGGGCCCCTAATATGGATCCTTAGGCCTTTCTAGGGACCCTTAAGGGTACATAGAGGGTATATAGAGGTGTATAAGGATCCCAGGGTTAAGGGCCCATACTAGGGGCCCATGGGTTCAACCTTAGAATTAAGATGAGGCCACCAGGTGATTCGTAGAGTTTTATGGGGTGTTAAAGGGTTTTATGGGGTTTATCTGGGAGTTTTAGAACAAATGGAGTGCCTGATTTCCGGATCCTTGTTTAAAGGGTCCTATTGTTTATGGTTCTACATGGGTAGCTCTCTAAATTGGGGTCCGTGTTTAGGCCCAAAAATAATACTGCACCCGTATGAGAAGGAGCATAAAGGGACCGCTTTTTGACAATCTACATGAGGGTACCGCATTTTCGGAAACTCCCGCATCCCTCACAAGCCTTTAAACACAAAACGCTTGTAGTCTTTCGGGGCTTGGGTTTCGGGTTTGGCGTTTGGTTAGGTTTTGTGTCAAGCTAGGGTTTAGGGTTCAAGGTACAAGGGATCGAAAAAACTTGGTCTGGCGGAATAATTAGGGCAGTCTACAAAGCCAGAACTGACTTCTCACTGGTTTAGAATGTTGGGTCTGGGGGATTTGCATGGTTTAGGGCTCTTAGGGTTTAGGGTTTAGGGTTTAGCCGAAATCTCCAAAGCCTGGACCAAAAACTTCGCCCCCTCTACATCAACCCCAAGACCAACCCCTCGACCCCCGGCAGAACCGCAAATCCTTAACAAAACCTCAAGCCACCCTAGGCCCTCAACCCTCAAACCCTAAACCCGGAACCCCGAACCCTAAACCCTGAACCATAACAAAAAAGCAAGGCTTAAAGCTTAAAAGCTTAGGGCCCCGATTTCCTGACTCCCCAGCTCTCAAATCCCGTCGCAACCCTGATATAAAACCCTGCTTGAAGTTGGGATTTAGAATATAGAATTCAAAAATTTTGGTTTAGGGCTTTGGGGGGATAGAACTTTACAACTAAGTGTGGAAGGCTTCGTGCCTTGAAGACTTTTAGACAGTCAGATACCTACACGAAGGTTCGATAAGCACCGCATGAATGAAGTGTCTGTAACTATATATGCCGTAAGCTACCATAAGTAACCTGCTTCTTCTGTAGGTTCGTATTGTAAACCCCACCGTAGAAGCTGTCCGGACCCTTCGTACCAATACTCATCATCCTTAAAGTACCCAGAGAACCCAATGCCCCTTAAGGAATATACCTTACATGATAATATTAAGGCCCCTATAATTTAAGGTAGAATGCTAGACTCGGACACGCCGCTTTTTCACGGCCCGAGGAAGATTGACACTGATCACCGCCCGACGAAGATTGACACTGACTCACGCCGGGATCAGCGGTGCTGCTGCCGGATCAGCCGGATGTGGTTATTGACACGGGAGACGCCGATCGCAGTCATGACATTCTCATACGGGTCGAACCACTCTTGCCAGCACTGCTGCGGGTGCAGCAGTGGTTGCATCTAGACCTTTGACTGTGATGATTGCCAATGTCATAACTTAGTCTTAGATGAACTGAAAAGAGAGCCCTTGTAGAGACCCTTATAGATCCCATTAATTTAAGGAACCCTGTAACTTTAAGGTCTATTCCTTCCTTAAGGTGTATTGGGCTCTCTGGGTAGACTCCAGGGGTGTGAGTAGGCTTCCTCCCTTCACCACAAGTTTCGAAGACCCCAAACTTGAAACCCACGAGGTTTTAGGACCCTAAAATTAGGGTTTAGGGTTTGGGTTTAGGGCTTGGGTTGAACCTGGACGGTCGCAACCGCTGCCGGAATGAAGAAAGCCCTTCTGTACCTAAACGAATCTCCCCTCGACGTATGAACCGTACACGCGGAAGAACTTGCCCACAATGCTTTGAACACGGAGCCGTCCGTAAACAAATACAAGAATAGCAGGATACTAGTGCTTCGGCCTGCGTAACTTGGCGCAGGTCTGCGCTAGTCAGCGTCCAGAGGTCGCACGTCCTCGCGGGGGTGTTTGGCCCAGTGGGCTGCATCTATACCCTAAACCCCGAACCCTCAACCCTAAAGCCGAAACCCCAAGCCCTAAACCCTAAACCCTAAACCCTAAACCCTAAACCCTAAACCCCAAGCCCTAAACCCTACAGCCTATGGAGGCCTCAGGGGCGCTTTTGGGCAGAGAGGGACCTTGCGGACCGAGCCTGCGGTACTTTGAGGCTCGTGACTACTTCTGCAAAAGTGGTCGGTCACGGTGTTGGCTTTAAGGGGGTTAGGGTTTGGGGATATGGGGATCTAGGGTTGAAGGCCCACTGTAGGGGGTCGTTTCTGGTTTATTGATTCGCGGTTCGATGTTCAGCACGTAGGCACGGATGCACTTAAGCTTTTGAGATGTGTGGGGTTCTCATTATTAGGGAACTAAATATGAGTACCCTTTAAATCTAGGTTATGTAGCGATTACCTTGTCATGGACCCTAGACCCTAAACCCTCAACCCTAGACCAACCCTAAACCCTAGACCCCAAACCCCTAAACCCTAAACACCTAAACCCCAAACCCCTAAACCCTAGGAAGCTCCGAATTTTGGGAACCCAGCTTGGTGGGGGGCAGCTTTCGGGGTGCAGAGGTTCTCAAGGAGTAAGTCTAAGGCTGAACCCATGGGCCCCTAGTATGGGCCCTCAACCCTGGGACCCTAATACACCGACTATATACCCTATATGTACCCTGAAGGGTCCCTAGAATGGCCAAGGGGTCCACCCTAAACCCTAAACCCTAAACCCTAAATCCTAAACCCTAAACCCTAAACCCTAACCTTAGAGTAAGGCCTGTGTTGCCACGAAACCCCGGAAGCCTCGGCACCCACGAAAGTCGCTTTAGGGTTTGGGGCTTTAGGGGTTTAGGGTTTTAGGGCTTAGCGTTTAGGGGCTTTGGGTTTTAGGGTTTAGGGGCCTTGGGGTTTAGGGTTTAGGGGCTTTGTGGTTTAGGGTTTAGGGTTTGAAGGTTTAGGGTTTTAGGGTTTAGGGTTTCGGGCCTTGGGGGTTTAGGGTTTCGGGCTTAGGGTTTGCATGCCGCCTGTCTAAGCTTCTTCCTTTTGTTTGTTTTCTGAGGGTTCAGTGGGTAGGCATAAGTGGAAATCACCAAGAAGTAGTCAACACCCCCGTTGCCTAAACCCTAAACCCTAAACCCTAAAGCCTAAACCCTCAACCGTTGTTGCCTTCACCCCGGTGTAAGGCTCAGGCTTCGTTGCCCGGATGGTGGCTGTGCGCGTGGTGCGCATCAACAAGGCCTCGGGGTTTAGGGTTTTGGGTTTAGGGTTTAGGGTTTAGGGTTTAGGAGGGTGGCCGGCTCTCCACAGCAAGAAACAGAGCCTTTGTAACCAGGAAAGTACACATCGCACACGGTGTCTGTTTGTTTTTTTGAAATGCTTTTGCATGAAGGCGATAGAAACGTGTCTTGAAGAACAAACTCTCACCACATGACAAAGCAGAAGTACCACGACAGCAGCCGCAGCATCAGCACTAGCATCAGCAACAGCAACGGCAACGGTAACGACAACGACAACGATAACGACAACAACAGCAACAGTAACAGCAACAGCAACGGCAACAGCAGCAGCAGCAACAGCAACAGCAACAGCAACAGCAACAGCAGCAACAGCACCAGCACCAGCACCAGTAACAGCACCAGTAATAGTATCAGTAATAGCACCAGCACCAGCACCAGCACCAGCACAAGCAGCAGCGCAGCAGCAGTTGGAAAGGACAACAAGCCACACCTGGAGACCACAATAACCCTTAGCCCAAGCATCCTCAGACCAATAACAGCAAGCCTTTCAGCCCAAACCCTTCACATTGCACAGCCTTCAAGTAATATAGAAACTTACAGAAGACAAAACATAAACCCAAATTCTCACAAACCTTATACCCTGAACACCTTAAACAACACTAAACCCTAAACCCTAAACCATAAATCCAAATTCTCATAAACCTTATACCCTGTAGCCCAGAACACCTTAAACAGCACGAAAGCCGGAAAGCAAATCAAAAAGACAAAGACGACCATCGCTCTTTGCGCTAGATCTGGGCAGCCCGCCACCTCGCCGAAGCTCGCCCCCGATCCCAGCCTCAGTTAGGGTTAAGGGGCGGTCAGGGTTTAGGGTTTAGGGTTTGGGGTTTTGGGGTCAGGCTCCTATTCGGATTGGGGGGCCGGTTCGTCTGTGTGAGGATGAGCCCCAAGCTCCTGTGGTGAAACCCCCCGCCCCCCTGGTTTCCCTCCATGGCTTCCGCTTTTCCGCGTTAGCCGTCAATGCTAGGTAGCATTATTAGGGGTACCCCTTAAAGGGTACCACTTCTGAACCCTACTTTTGGCTCTCTTAAAAGGGACCTTATTGAGATGGTCTATAACCCCAAGGGTCCCCCTAATCCTAGCTCCCAAATGCGCCGCACCTCGACAAAAGTCCTGCAAACTCTGGTTGTTTGTACCCAATCTCCTCCCCTTCCCCGGTCCTCGTCCACTCCGCACCAGTTCGTTGGCCCTCTTTGTTTGTGGTTGGGCCGAGGCGGACGACGCGAAGCGTTCAAAATTAAGAAATCTAAGGGACCCCTTCAAGGTTAAGGGTTTCACCTAACAGCTCGCTGCATGCAGAGCCCTTCGCTGACGCGGATGACCATCAACTCGTCATCCTTGTTCCCCTAAACCCTGAACCCTGAACAACCATCAAATCCTAACCACCATGAAAATGCAGAAACAGCTGAAGCCACAGCTTCATGATCCCTAAACCGGGGTGTTTTTAGCATCTGCTGCCGAAAGGACCGTCCTATCAGAGTATCGTAGTGCTCAATGTTTGCAGCTTGTAATAGCCCTTTCAGGTTTTTTGAGGGAACTATGATGGATGCACGGGGTCTACATCAGAAGGCTTGAGGAGATTGAGTTTCGGAGGGGTAAGGATTAGGGTTCCGCGAACCATATAAAAGCCCTGAACTTAATCAAACCCTGAACCCCTGCTTCAAGTCTAAACCCAAGCCCCCTAAAACTCTAAACCGTAAACCCATAACCCCTCAACACTAAAACGCTAAACCCTAAAACCCTAAACTGCTCGGGCCAGTCGCCAGAGCGGAAGCAATCCCCCGAGTCCAAGCACCACGGATACATGGGCGGAAAGGAATACCTTCCAGGGTGTAGGGTTTAGGTTGAGGGTTCTTTGCTGCCGTGCTTAGGACGGCAAAGAACTAATCCTTAACCCAAAACCCAGCACCCTAAGCCCGTATATCGTAGACCCTAAAATCTAAACCCCGCTATCCTAAACCCGAAATCCTCAACCCAAAAATACCTGGTTTTAGATGAGTTTACACCGGGTCTAGGGATGCATGGGTTTCGCATCTTTGAAGGTTCCAGGGGATGGGGGGGGGGCATGGTAGAGTATGTACAATGTGGTCCCGTGCCCTGTTGTACTACTACTACTACTACTACTACTACTACTACTACGACTACTACTACTACTACTACCACGACTACTACTACTACTACTACTACTACTACGACTACTACTACTACTGCTACGACTACTACTACCACCACTACTACCACTACCACTACCACTACCACTACCACTAC